AAAACCGGGACCTCTGACCCTGCACTAGACAGAGCTGTGACAGTTTGATTGGGTCACCCTGGCGATAGAAGGGGCCGTATCCTGCCGGATTGGGTTTGTACACCAGAGTATTCCCTGTCGCACGTACTGGGGACGGGGCGATTGTAAAGCCCGTCCAGCCAGAGGGTCAGGCAATAGGTGGCCACACGGCGGGAAGTCAACTGTTCTATGTATTACCTGTACCTTCCAATAAAGATGTCGCCTCATGTGTTTGCTCTGGTGTGCGTTCGGTTTCAGTGTGTGTTGTAGGTTAGTCTGTCCCCCTGTCATAGGCCTAGTTAGCGAGCCACGGACCGGCAAGGTCATACCAGAGGTTTGTGACACCATGCTATGCCAACTATATTGGCATCTTCTCTTTGTTGTAGTTTTTATTGATACCAGGAGATATCTATACACAAAAAACATGTCATATGTAACTGTTTCTTCCTCGTGAATCCCACTAATCGTATAATAATTTATTTGAAATTGTATATTTAGTAAAAAAAAAAAAAAAACATGGCCGTCTAAAGGGTTGTTGTTGTTGTTGTTGTTGTTGTTATCGATCCAGCGGCGCATGAGCTTTCGCCCTTTGGCCCAATGCCATGTAGTGGAATTTGCATGTTTTTCACAAGCTGTTCTTTTCCTCCGTACAAGGTGTTCCACTTGTGGTGTGGTTTGTCGGTGAGGGCTGGTAGTAGCGTTCTTCTTTCTTGTCTCACTGAGTTTTGTGTGTTTGTTTGGGCACTCAAAGAGATGGTGTTCAACAGTTTCGTAGGGGTAGTTACATAGCTGGCACTCTGGGAGTGTTTGTGGCTGTATTCTGTTTAGGTGTCCATTGAGTGAGTATGTTGCGTTTCTAAGTCTGAAGATGGTGGCCTGGTCCCTTCTTGTTAGATGGTTTAATGCTGTCATTAGGATCAGGGCCAGACATATGTCTATAAACCTCTCTTCCAGTGTCTCCCATGGCCCATCTGTTCAACCAAGTCTCTTTGTTTATAGCTCTTATCAGTGTTTTGCTGTCTGGAGGGTTGTCGCTGTAGGTGGTTTGTTCTTGTGTTGCTCCTTTCTTTGCCAATCTGTCAGCTCTGTCATTACCTGGTGTGCCGGAGTGACCTGGAATCCACTGCATCACTATTCTGATGCTGTATGAGGTAATAAGATGATCGGCATCCAGGATTATCTTGGCTATGTCAGTTCTGCAGCGTTCATTGCACTCCAGAGCTTGAAGGGCAGACATTGAATCTGTAAAGATGACAATATTTTGGACCTTTGAGGGGTAAACATCCATTACAGTCTTTAGGTGGTATACTGCTGTTTCCAGTGCAATTATTTCAGCTTCATAGTTTGAACAGAATTCCCCGCATGCATCAAAAATCTCTTCAACAGATCCATCGGGATAACCTATGTAGATTCCGTAACCTGCTTTAATGGTAGCTTTAAATGGGTTAATTGTACTTAGGCTTAGGCCTTGTTTAAGTAAGCAATAATAACAATACTCATAATAATTATTATTATCTGCTGAATGGCAAACGAAAATAACAGTATCTTGAAATAATATAAATGTATCAAAAAATACTTAACATGAGAGCATGACAAGAGAGAACATCTATATATGATCACGAGGAACCTTTAAGCCTCGTTGCGCATTTTCTAGGAGATGGGGTGGGGGTGCAGTCCCCCTCCCACAAACGTTGTGTTTGAAGTGGGTGGCCTCAAAGCGCCTGAGCCCACATGTTATCAAACCGACTGCCTTTACTTTTGCTAATGTGTTTTAGGCAGAGTCAAATGTGGAGTCTAGGTGTGCATGCAAGAATGCCATCTACCCTGCTACATCGGTCTCTGTTAATTGTTCTTCATCTTACAGCCCATGCTGTGCAGCTTTGGTAGACGTATGCGTGTCTTTATCCTAAACCTTCTGTTCTGACCCAGATGATCTTTCCCGCCACGATGTCAAGTTGTCCAGCATGTTAGGTTATTACGTGACATTAAACGAACGAACTTTGACAATAGAAAGAATCAAAAGAGAGAAAGCTATAAAACGAAAAAGCTAATCTATGTGCATGCAATGGTTACCCGGGTTGGCCCCATCACGATAGATAACCGGTTGGTTCTTGTACTGCATGAAATACGCAACATGGCCCATCTCATGGTGGACTGTCATCAGATCGTCCTGGGTGATATCCGTGCACATCTTGATTCTAAAAGATTCACATTTACACATCAATGGTGAGCTAGGAAAAAGGGTGTTGGATGTTATGTTAAAATTTACCGGGGTTGGCGCCGCGCCGATACACGACTGGCAGATGTTTGTATTGCATGTAGTACTGGACATGTCCCATCTCATGGTGCACTGTCATCAGATCGTCCTGAGTGATGTCGGTGCACATCTTGATTCTAGGGTGCAATATGATGGTGGCGGTAGAATTAATGTTGATTTTTTTTAGTATATGTTATTGCTAAATAAATGCTGATTCTTTGAAGTCATACACTTATTAAGGAAGTAACATAGATAAAGATAGACAAAGACATAGTATACAAAGATAATCAAACGCGAATGAAATAGGCCAAAGAAGTTTGCGTAGCGCTAAATAAAATAAATTTTTACAAGATTAGAGGAGATTTCATAGCACCACAACATCTGTTGAAGTTAAAGAAGAAAACCAGAACCACACTTTAGCACATACAACTCTCTCTCTCTCTCTCTCTCTCTCTCTCTCTCTCTCTCTCTCTCTCTCTCTCTCTCTCTCTCTCTCACACACACACACACACACGGAGAAAGATATTATAAAACTAGGTTGGAGAATGCAAACAGTTGGGTAGGGCATGGGGTGAGCTGCAGACGATAGCAAAGGATAGGGTGACTTGGGGAGAGTTGTTGAGGGTTTAATGCTCTATTGGTGGATAAAGGGCAGAATGAAGAAGCATGTTGTTTCTTCAGTATTTATACGTCTGAATTAAGGCTGAACTGAATGTATCGCAGTTTCATGATCGAATTAATATTTATTATCCTGAGGGCTGTACACCCCCCCCCCCCCCTTTCCAGTAGGGTCCTGTGTAGTAGCCTCTCATGTTGCTGTATTGATGCCTAAAGAATATAGAGTCGTTTTGAGAGTGTCCTTATAGCGATTTTCTGTCCTCCCTGGGACCTCTTCCCTTGCTGGAGCTCGCCATAAAATACTCTCTTTGGGAGGCGATAGTCTGGCATACGGGTTAGGTGACCAGCCTAACACAGCTGATAATTCTTCAGTATCGTCTGGATGTTAGGCAGGTTTGCCCTGTCAAGAACCACAGTATTTGGTATCCTGCCTTGCCTTTGATTTTGAGCAGCTTTCTGAGACAAGTTATATGAAACATTTATGACATAGAATTGTTATGACGACACTAAAGATGACCTTAAGGTCATGTTGCTGATTAACTATGTGGGAATTGAACAATAATTTGAAACAGATTTATCAACTGAGTCCTCACACACACACACATACACGCACACGCACGCGCGCGCGCACACACACGCGCACACACACACGTGCGCACAGAGAGAGAGAGAGTGAGAGAGAGTACCGCACCTAAAATCCTTCTGATTATAGAAGTCCCAGGCTGAAGCGTGGCACACAACCTCACGTCCATCGTTGGGCTTCTCCAGCATGGACAGTGTCCAGAAACTGGGCACCATCTTGTCAAACCCCAGGGACACGAAGAAATCCTCGGCGGTACGAAAAATCTTGTCCACCGTGTATTTCTGTGGGAGGAAAACCAATTACGTGTCTGAATTTGGTGATCCGAATAAAGACGATATTTTCAAGAAATTTGTTTAGAACGAAGTTTCTGGAAAGTTTAGTGACAACTGGTAAGTAATCTTGCCTGTTTACAGCTGTCATATACTGTCAATAATTTCTGGCATTGATTTGTTGATTCATTGCCATTATGCGAAACCATCATATAATCATCTGTTCTTGTTGTCTTCCCTCCGACTTGCCCGATGTCACAACGTACTTCAGTTTTGACCTTCTCCAGAGTATTCAAATAAACGTAGACTGCCTCAACTGAAACTGATCAGTTCTCTTCACGAAGTTAATTTCTGTTATCAAACAGACATTACGGTTTTATTAAAATCTGCCCAGTTTTCTCACTATTTGTGCACAAAACCCAGATCACCCCACTCTACACATACCTGATACACTAATCACATTTACTGTTTATGATTAACTTCAGAGCAATCAGATTTATCACAACTTACAATGAAATTATAAGGTTTACTGGGATCTAACTGAGAAAACACGCAAAAACAGACATAAGTATCTCCCTTAGACCGTATGCTTGAAGACCTTGCTATGCTTGTATTTATTCATAGAATCCCAACGTATAATTTATTTCCTGTTTTCTAGACAGATCTTTCCTAGCTCATTAGTTAGTACTCACTGCCTTCTTCGTTAATGACGTCACAGCCTCTGTCTTACCTGTCTGACCATCTCAGGTGTGACATCCATAGAAGTCTTGTTGGCGAAAGGCTTGACTAGCTCCACAACGTTGCCCCACTCCTGAGCCCACATGTTACCTGTCAGTTGTATTTACAAGTGTTAAACTAGAGCCAGAATCTTTCAATCAAGCATGTGTATGTGTGCAACTAGGGTTAACATCTTTCCTTTCGAGATTTATTAGTGTAAAACTGGAGTCATCTTTAATTCCCGGATTCATTCATGTAAAACTGGGGTCATCTTTAATTGCCGGATTCATTCCTGTGAAACGGGTAAATCTTTAATTCCCTGATTTATTCGTGTGAAACTGGGGTCATCTTTAATTTCCGGATGAATTCCTGTGAAACGGGTAAATCTTTAATTCCAAGATTTATTCGCGTAAAACTGGGGTCATCTTTAATTTCCGGATTCATTCGGATAAAAGTGGAGTCATATTCTTTCATACCGAGCATGTATTTCAAGGACTCAATATTTACACATGTTTGAGAACCCTGATATGACCAAACATATTATTGTCATCCAGAACTTACGGAATATAAGTGTCTGAGGGCACACAACAAAGTATGTTTGTGTGTGTGTGCAAATCTCAATTTGGTTTACACACAATAAAGCGATATTGTTAGTTTGATTATAATATACATCATTATCAGACACCAACGTCTTTGTAGAACAGCGCTTTGACCACTGTCCACTGGAATGAACCTCATTCATTTACCATTTCCGTTCTCTCAGAACTGTTCGTGTACATTGATATCTCCAGTGCCCCATCCGCCGCTTTTCTGGCTGACCTTGATTTGTCTTTCAGAGCTCACGCGGGAAATGAATGAATCAGGTACTGAGGTGGACTCTTGGGAACAGAAAAATGTCAGGGACCGTGTTGTGTGGAGGGGGCACACCAGGAAGGGAATACGAATGAAGGAAGAAAAAGTAATTAAACAATAATGGCAAATACCAGATTCGTAACGTTTGATTTTCACATAATTTTTTACAATAAGTATTAGGTATATACTGAAATGTATTCAGACTATGCGTAATTTGAAATTTAAAATAACGTATTAAGATCATTTATTGAAATAATTAGATAATAATTTATATGTAATAAATATAGTTACATAACAATGTTGAACAACAGAGAAATAATTAAAAGAAAAAACAATGGATTTATAATCTACCAATGTGTTACCGTTACTGAGGCACACCAGCAAGGCTATCAACTTCCGTAATCTAACTCACACCCACTCACAACGAAAGAGAGTTTACTTCGTAAATGTTTTGGGCTGACTTAATATAACTGTAATATTTGGCTATACGGTTGAACGGGGTTTCAAGAATTTGTAGCTATTTGATTCTCATCCTTAAGATGTTAATCATACAGACTGCAGTTTGGAAGGGGAAAACCTTTAGAAACATTAGAACTTATGCTGGATGTGAAAACTAAGGAGGGTGGATGTGAAACTGGTCATGTCCTGTCAAAACAAATGAACGCATTCAACTTTTCAAACAGCTCGTAGTCAGTTAGCAATTCTCCATTTAGAGATTGAAGGCAAAAGAAAAGAAGAAGACAATGTACCACAGTGAAGGAACACAGTGAAGGAACACAGTGAAGGAACAGTGTGAAAGTCCAGAATGTACGTACCTAGAAGATGAGCGGGGATATGTCCTGACGCAGGGAACCGGCTCTCCCCGTAGACTTGCCTCAGACGCCTTCTCACGTAGGCGTGCAACTGTTCATAGAGGGGTCTCAACTGGTCGAAGAGATCCTGGACGTCAGCCACAAAGGTGTCTGATTCATAGGCTGACCGCCATTCTTCTCCCGTGTCTTGATATCCTGCAATAATGATTGATCGATCAATCAGTTTGTCCCCTCCGAACTCTGAAAACATTAGTTTCCTGCAAATGTTGTTTTTTCGCACCCCGGCTTCCCCCACTCCCGGAAGTAGTATATCAGAGAGTTTAGTACTGTCATTTTAAACTCTCTCTGACATTAGTTAGCACCTTGTGGGACTCAGTGAGTTGAACATTTAGGGTCCCTTCCTTTTTCAAAGTAGCAAAGACATCCAGAAAATACAGTTGTAGCTGCTATGAAAAGAAAGGGCAGAAAAGAAAGTTAATTGCGAATTCTTAATAGGACATTGCAAAAATCAGTCCTAATTTTTGGGGGGTGTTTGTGATTTTACTAAGCAATTTCACGTCCAGTAGTTTGTTATTGCTAAATAACGGTCGACAGGGCTTAAGCCACAAACGCAGCAAATGACTTCATGCTGCCAGCTGGCCCTACACTGTTGAAAGTGGTTTCAGGGATTCGTTTCTCTTGGATATGCATCCAAATAGTGGCTCGTCGGGTCACTTAGTATCAGCCTCTACTCCGCCCTTTGTTTCCGAAAAAAAGTTTACAAATACGTTGGACAATAATGAATACTCACAGAAGCCAAAATTCAATTACGACACTGCTACATTTGTGAGGAAACACTTAAGAACTAACCTAAGTATTGGACAGCCTCATTACTAAGCTGCACAAATTTTGTGTATAGATCTTTCATCTTGCGACCTGTCTCGTTTCTCCAGCCAACCCACAGAGTTTCAAGTGTGTCGTAGTCACGTGACTGTGCCAGGAAACGAGTGATATCTGGGGATTGAAATTGCAGACATTATTATTATTACTGAATTTTTGTGAAAGGAAATTTCATGTCTGGTATTTACAAAATAAAATGGAAAAAAAAAAAATGGGAGTTGCAGGGAAGACAGGGAGGGGGTGCCATTAAAAAAAAGACAAATAGCATTATAGTAAAAAATACAATAAAAAATTAGCAGGAGAGAACGAAGAGGGGTAATCAAATTAAAGTAGAGGGGAATAGAGTAGAAAGCTACAGCATTAATAATAATGCATCCTCATCAGAAAACAAAGGATAAGGAAACAAAGGAGAAGGAGAAAAAAAAAGTAGAAGGCGGAGGAGGAGGAGGAGAAGGAGAAGAAGAAAAAGAAGAAGAAGAAGAAGAAGAAGAAGAAGAAGAAGAAGAAGAAGAAGAAGAAGAAGAAGAAGAAGAAGAAGAAGAAGAAGAAGAAGAAGAAGAAGAAGAAGAAGAAGAAGAAGAAGAAGAAGAAGAAGAAGAAGAAGAAGAAGAAGAAGAAGAAGAAGAAGAAGAAAAAGAAGAAGAAAGAGAAGAAGAAGAAGAATTTAGAGTTCACCAAAATGCTTTTTGATCTAGCTAATGCTACTCCGACATTCCAAAGAATAATGCTGTTATACACACATGATCTGATGTTTAACATAATGTTAATATATTTAGATGACATCTTGGTTTACATATTTCTAATTAACTATCAATTAAAAAACATTAAAAAAAAACCCCATAAAGATCCGAACGTTGAGTAACCAGCTGAAGGCGTATGAATATAGATTAACAATCAGAAGAAATGGAAAACGCTTGTAGGTAGGCTTACATTAAATAAAGTTAGAGCAATAGGTTTCTCTGACATACACAATTATATCAGGAAGAATCAAACTTAAAACAGAAGTAGCATGAAATTAGTCACAGTCAGAAAGAAAGAGGGACCGATTTTGACAATTCTAGAAAGAGTGATCACATTTTATAAAATGGAAAGTCATCGGACTTGTACACGCAATGGCAGAAAATGAAACTTTCAATAAGGTGCACTAGCACTATCAGTATGGGAATATTTTTTGATGTCGTCGCCTATCTGCCGGAGAGGCAAGGAACCAACAGTCTGCATACAAATAAATCTGATATGTAAAACAGAAGTGGACGAAAAACTCCAGTTCTGGAGCAAGATCAAATTTCAGAAGTTGAAGAACAAGGAAAACAAATTTATTGAGAAAACGACGACTTCCAGTAGAAACCCTTAAATAAACGTGGATGAGAGAGAAAAAAGGTTCCTGATTAGCTTTTACCAATGATAACGAAAGGATAGAACAGAACAGATGATTAAACTGTGTAATATATAAAGGATCAACAGGATGATTACGACGATGCTGATGATGATGACTGTCATTGCCGCCTTGACACGGCACGTCATAGTGATAAAAACGTCGACATATTTAAAAAACTCTCACCCGGTTCCAGGGGTAAACAGATGTCCGGTGTCAAACAAACTTTTGCCTTTCCATAAATGGACTGCATTTCTGCCAGGACAGTCGCCAGCTGTGGAAAATAAAATAGAGCACAAGTACAACCTGCACACCGTTTCGCCTATAACACAAAACAGGACACCATAACACGAGGATGAGTTAAGAACCAAAAGCAAGCGCAGAGTTCCAACTCTGATGGTACCGGGGCACTTATTGTTTACACTCGTGTGCCATAATGTTGATCCGCTGAAAAAAAAAAAATAATATGATTGTATATGCATATTGTACCTCGCCCCTGAGTGTCAGGCGTCCGCCAGGTAACTTGGTTAGCTCATGCTACCCCATTCTCTTTAGACCGAGATGATCTTTTTGTGTCTCTGCACTGTTTACTCGCTCACAGATGACCATTGCAACATCTAGCTTGTCATGCATCAAGTTACCATCAATTGGTGCAAAAGCAGCTTGTCTATATGTCTTTTGATTTTACAACAATCCAGAAGAAAATACCCAAAAGATGCTAACTGCCCGGGACTTCTAAAGCGATTCCCTCCACTCTTGACGGAACTTACCTGTCTTCACCTTTCTCAGCAGGCCACGTGAGCCAGTTACAGTCACGGCATGTGTTTTACAGCTGGTTCTCAAGCCAACTAAAGGCTGCACTGACCGCCTCAGTCTCCATTCTCAATCTAGATGTTGTATCATATGCCAGGCTTTGCTGCACTAAGCGAAATCTATACGCTTTTGCTATAGAACCTCAAGCACGTGTTCTGCCTCTCAACACAGAGCCATCGGTATAGAGAATCACATCACCTGAGCCAGAATTCTCATGAATAACAGAAGCCAGCTAAATAAATGCTGGCCTTTGTTTATAAAGGTTTGTAAAGGACACATAATAACTAACCATATTTACATAAAACAACCGGCACTAATTGGCTGCCATGGCCAATATCATCTGGAAGCCTTTTTTCAGAACATTTCCTGGTACCAATTTTAGGCTAAGTTTACGCAGAGTGGTCATTAAACAGGAGGCCCATTACAGAACGTTGCTCTCGTCCTAGCACACCCGAAACTCTCTCTAACATTCTCCAGCCCTATGTGCTTTCATAGTCAATGTGTCTTCAATGTTTTATATCCACCTTCAGTAGGTCGGCCACGGAGTCAAGGTCAATTATTAAAAAAAAAAAAACTAGATGGAGATTCGAACTCATGACCTTAGGCGGTAGGTGAGCAGTCTAGCCATTGTGCTACAGGGCCGTCAAGAGCATAGCTGTTCTAAAGCTCGACCAGACATTATTACCCAATAATTTAATAATTGTTTTCATGAATACAGATTATTTGCCATCATATTTGTCGAAGCTTCTAAGAGCAGACTGATCAAAGGTGAAGGACACGCAGATGACAACTTTGGGGACGCATACAATTCCAGAATAAACATCGAATGTTTATCCCCACATGATCAGTCAACTTAAACTTGTTGTAAAGCCACTGTCTGATTCTTCACAGGCAGATTGCCTTCAACACTATTGTTCCGTTGAGAAACTGTTTCTTACTGATATTTTTAGAAAGCAGTTGCAGTCACGTAACGGTTGTTCGTGGTTTATGAGTCTGCACGCCTGTTTGAGTGAGATCAACAGAAATTGCTCAACTGAAAGCTTATTTGTTCGGCCAAGCCTGAGACAATATTTAGCGTCACTTTCAAAAGCCACATGCCACTGGAAATAGCAGTTGTGTTTTCAGTTTAATGTAAACATAAAAAGTCAAAAACACCATTTGCTTCAGTCAAAGATAGAAACAAAAGAAGCAAACAAACATAGAAGAACAAAAGACACATGTCGAGCAAATTGTGAATCCAGACCTGTATTCATGATTCCATGCATTCATTCATGAATCCATGCGTTCATTCGTGAATTCACGCACCCAGTCAGTCATTTAATTATTTATTCTTTGGGTCATTAATACCGAGCATTTACCTTCACCCTTGGTGTTAAGTCACATGTTGCTTTCTTCCCTACCTGCTTTATTCTCAATACAGCATAGAAACTAAAATGCCCTCAACCCTAAAGAAACCGGTCACGTTATTTGCTTCACGTTGAAATCTTCCATTTTCCCTATTTAATGATTTATAAAATATTTTTTTTTCTTTTATTTGCTAACCTGGTAAATTCAAAAGAAAGACTTCCTAAGTTTGCAGTTCACATTCCCCAGCGGAATGTGTTTCCTCACTTACCCAGTGGAAGAACTTGGACTAAATTTTACTGTTATAGTCCATCATTGGTTGCATAACGTGTACCGAGCCCTGTGGCAGCCTCTATAGAGGGTGCAAACATGGGGCAACTGCCTGCTGATGTTGATGGGGACGCCTACCTCTGAGCTAGGGCAGTAGATAACTTGGCGATAGGTACTCGTTAGGAAACAAGCTAAAGAAGTTAGTTAGTTAGTTAGTTAGTTAGTTAGTTGGGTTATCATCATTGCACTCCGGACATGTCCATAGGTGCTCAGATCCTCCCCACAGTATGAATCCCAACGTCCGATGGCTAATAGTACCAGTTCTATGTTGATTAACAAGTCTTCTGACGTGTCCGGTGTGCGTCTCGTTTTTTGCTGTGCCGATCTTAATTCCCAAGTCTGCCATTCTGGCGAGTGATGTGGATTCACTGCCACCAAAGTCCTCTATCCTTCCCATTTCTCTGAGGGCATTGATAATATCAGCATGATCCATAGGCCGACCGTCGGTAGTGATAGCGGATCCAGCCAACCTGTCAGCTCTTTCATTTCCATCGACGCCTGCGTGTCCCGGAACAAAAATAAAGGTGACTCCTCGCACAGTGGACTTCTGAATTGATTCAAGCCATTGTCTTCGCACTGAACCTGCCTGAACCCTCCGGATCATACTCATTGAATCACTGAGTATACATATGCGGGTGTATTTTTGTGTTTCAAGCCAGGCAAACGCTTGCGTCACTGCCATCACCTCCATCGTCATGCTGCTGGTTGTCATGGAGAAGGCGCCGTTGGCTTCTTTGACTGTTCTGCCCGCTGAGCGTGCTGTAAATGCCCATGCGCTTCTTCTTTGGCGTATAACTGATCCGTCTGTATAGATTAGTGCATCTGCTTCGTCTGAATTTTCACCGATGAGAGCGTTGACCTCTGCATTAACAGCAACAGGATTATCTTCTCTACATCGCCTGTTGAGTGTGACAATACAGGAAAATGTACAAATAAAACGCCTGAGGCACAGGTATCCATTCTGCACCAGGTATGATGTCGGTTAGGCTGCATATTTGCCTAATAACATCTTCTGCCCTACCTAGCCACGATTTTCCCCTCTTCAGTCTGTCGCCCTTTTCACTAAAAAGCGCTTGATGCAGTGGGTGTTTCTTATCAGCACATATTTTGAGGTATGCCCGAGCCCTCCACATCCCGATCCTTTGGTTCATTGTTGGAAAGTCAAGTAGATACCTCATTGCTCCACAAGATGTGTCTCTTGTACATCCCAAAATAATACGCATGGCTTCATTTTTGCACCTTCTCGAGTCGTTCAATCTGGGTAGCACTGACAGTGAGGATGGCCAGAGCGTATTCAATGGGGGGAAAGGACCAGACCATAGAATAGAAGCACCAGCAGTCTTTGCTCGATATTGGAAGCAGCCATAATCCTCATTGCAGATAGACCTTTGCGTGCTTTTGTTATCGCATGGTCAACGTGTTCCCTGAATGACAAGCTGCGATCGAACCTCACCCCGAGAAACGTCATAACGTTGGTTCTGATCAATACATTATCACGCATTTTCACTTCTGGTAAGTCCGACTTGACAATGTGATTGTTCAAAGAGAACCATGACACTGATGCCTTCGAGGGATTGACATAGGCATTGGAACCATCACACCAGGCGGCAATTCGATCGAGTTCTTTGTGCATTGTGCTGGCGATCTCCTGTCTATCACGCCCTCGTCGATAAATCAAAATGTCATCAGCAAATGACAAAGTCCTTCCCTTTCCGTTCAACTGCTGCTCAGTGATCATCACCGTATAAACATTGAATAAGACTGGTGATAGCGGTGATCCCTGTGGCAAGCCTGGACATATCGTTTGCGGTTCTGAGGACCAGCTACCACATCTTAGTACAATCTTTCTCTGGAACAGGACCGCAGCAATCCAGCGGATCAGAATAGGATTGACTTCTAGTTTAAGCAGTAATTGCATTAAATAATCATATGGTACTTTATTGTAGGCATCTTCTAAGTCCAACACTGCCGCACATGTCTCTTCTTTAATCTGAAATCCCTCGTACACATCGTAGGCGAAAACAGCAGCATTGGACCATGTCTCTTTCTTCAATCTGTACCCTCCAAGTGTTGATGGGAACTTATCATGTAGTTCCAAGTAGGTGGTCAATCTTTGTGCGACAATTTTTTCCAAAAGTTTGCCAACAGTATTCTGCATCGAGATGATTCTGTAGCCGCAGATCTTTGAGTGGTCTTTATTAGGCTTTGGTAGTGGAAACAAATAACTATGGAGCCATTCCTCTTGTATCTGGCCACTCTGGATGCTGATATTGAATTCCTTTGCCAAGCTTTTCAAATCAGCATTCGACATCATCAGCATGTCATTGTATCGGATGCCGTCAGGACCTGGAGCAGTGCTGCGCGATTTCTTGAGGCAAGTTCTTAAGGTGTCTGCAGTGATTGTGAAATCAGTGCCTAGCTCAGTGTTCTCGCACAGCATCGACAGTTTCATCTTAACCCCTATTCTTGCAGCTTCGTCTTTTTGGTCAGTTTGCTCCAAGTAGCGCGCAAGGAGGGTTTTTCCTTTATCAGCATCAGTTCTCTGCCATATCAGGTCTGTACCCTGAAAATCAGGGATACCCCTTGGTCGTGCGGCGCCGTGCATGCTCCGTTGAAGGCGCCAGAATGTCACAAGAGATCCCTCGGAGCAAACGCTCTTGCAGAATTCGTTCCATTTCGCTGTCTTGGCTTCTTTCGCAATTAACTTGAAAGCTAAAGAAGTAACTGGAAAAGGAGATGGAAAATAAGAAGAAGAAGAATAACAAGAACAAAAAGGAGGAGAAGAAGAACAAGAAGAAGAAAGGGGCAGAGGAGGAGGAGGAGAAAAAGAAGAAGAAGAAGAAGAAGAAAAAGAAGAAGAAGGAGGAGAAGAAGAAGAAAAAGAAGAAGAAGAAGAAGAAGAAGAAGAAGAAGAAGAAGAAGAAGAAGAAGAAGAAGAAGAGGAAGAAGAAGAAGAAGAAGAAGAAGAGGAAGAAGAAGAAGAAGAAGAAGAAGAAGAAGAAGAAGAAGAAGAAGAAGAAGAAGAAGAAGAAGAAGAAGAAGAAGAAGAAGAAGAAGAACAACAACAACAACAACAACAAGAAGAAGAAGAAGAACAAGAAGAACAAGAAGAACAAGAAGAACAAGAAGAACAAGAAGAACAAGAAGGATGTGGACATATACATGAGGTTTCAAACCAACCTCCTCAACTTTGGTGGCGTTGGGTTGAGCCGAGGTGCCAATGTCCGTGATCTTGCCCAGTTGACGCTGGACATCGGCCGACATGGCCGAGGAGTTAAACTGTAGGGCCTCAGCTCGCATATCCTTGTCGAACTGTGCCGCGATCGATTGCTGTTTGACCTGTTGCATATCCATGAGTTAAGTAAGTCTAACAAGTAAAAGTTAAGTACAACAAGAACAAGTAAAGTTCTTTCTTTCTTTCTTTCTTTCTTTCTTTCTTTCTTTCTTTCTTTCTTTCTTTCTTTCTTTCTTTCTTTCTTTCTTTCTTTCTTTCTTTCTTTCTTTCTTTCTTTCTTTCTTTCTTTCTTTCTTTCTTTCTTTCTTTCTTTCTTTCTTTCTTTCTTTCTTTCTTTCTTTCTTTCTTTCTTTCTTTCTTTCTTTCTTTCTTTCTTTCTTTCTTTCTTTCTTTCTTTCTTTCTTTCTTTCCTAATGCAATGTAATGAACTAAGAATGTCACAAAATATCATAAAGTAGTGTAAGCATATTTACCTTAAAAATAAATAACGTATCGGCATAATACATATTTAAATTAGGAACTTTTTAGTTTTTCGCTCTATCCACATCGTGGTTGACCTTTCATTATTGCTTGCTGACGTGTCACACTGGCTGGTCTCTGTTACAGGTGTGTCAGGTTGTGGTGTTAGACCATGACCGGCTACAGCTGACGGGCCGTGCTGCTGACGTCACCGCGTCAGGCTAACGATGCGGTAACGCAGCGGTTCTCAAATAAGATATAAACTATTTTCGACAGTGGCAAGGAAAGACAACTTAAATTGTATCTTTAAGTATCTACATGCCTTATTTATTATTTCCCATTTTTAGCCGACTTTTCTTTATTACGCGGCAGCCCTGGCATACGCTCAGGACACCCCAGGCTGCCTCAGCACCCAGTTTGAGAAATGCTGCGTTAACGCATCGTTAGTCCGACCCGGTGACGTCAGCAGCACGGCCCGTCAGCTGGAGCCGGTCGTGGACACATTGTCCGCAGTTGGGATCAAACCCGGCATTACGAAGCGCGTTCGCGTGAAAAGGGTTCATTAATCTTTACAGCTGTGGAACCTGTGTGTTACATATATGCTATCTACATGCAATAGAGCGATCTCAGGTTTGCCCGGTTGGCATTCCAATATAAACCAATTACGTGGAATGGTGGAAGAGATGTGTCGCACCATAGACTTCATAGATGTATGTGGTCTTCTTATCCAAAAACAACTGGCAGGGGGAACGGAAAGAAGAAGATTAAGATAAATGAGTTAACAAATTAAAACTATGTTCAGAGAGCTCAGTTTACCAACTGTACACACACAGGCTAGCAAGATCGTTACGGGTGCCCCAGTTCTAATCTCCTTACATGTTGAACGGAATGTCTGAGCTTTGTCACGTTGTTTTGTCACCCATGAAGAGAAGCTAAATTTCTCAGGGATTATCAAATTCTCAGGGGTTATCAAATTTTCGGCTGGCATTGTGTGTGGGAAAAACCAGCAACGATAGCCAACCCAGCAAATGTTCTGAAAACTTTTAACATGAATAAGTCAAGGGAATAAATTCTGGGCGAGGATTTCTTCATACTTGTTGCAATGTAATAAAGTTTGCGGTGGGGTAGAATGTTAACAATATCGCCCAGTGAATTCTGTTACTACTGGCTAGTGAATACTGGGACCGGCTCAATCAATAGTAGGACAGACTAGATGAGGATTGGAACAGGTTAACTGGATGTTGACACTCGGTAACTGAGTGCCGGAAGTGGCAAACTGAATGCTGGAAGTGGCAAACGGAATATTGGGTGGGACTAACTGAATACTGGGCGTGGCTAACTGAACATTGGGAGCGGCTAACTAAACATTGGGAGCGGTTAACTGAACATTGGGAGCGGCTAACTGAACATTGGGAGC